TATATATATATATTGAAATAAAAGGATTATGAGAATTTCTTTATCAGGAATCAGAACTTTAAGAGAAGGCCAAAAAAAAAAAATCAATTAAAATAAATTAACATCAAAGTTTTTTATTTCTAGAAGAAAAACTAAATAATTAAAATAATACTATTTTTTTAAAAAACTATTAGAGTCTGTTTGGGGCAGCTTGTGTGTTTCAGGATAAACAGCTTATTCTGAAACGCGGCCCGCGGGTCAATTGCGGGGGTCGACCTGCGGCCTACGTTTAGTGTAAAAAACCAAACTAGACAGGATATGTGTCAATTAAAACGATTAGGTAGCGCAACCGCATTTAGAAGCTGTCCCAAACGGGCCCTAAGTTTTATTAGTTAAGCATACGACTTCATTTATAATAATCTATAGAGATCATTTGTAATCATAAACTCCATCAGATCCACTTCTTTGAATTACTGAATTTTCTTCATTAATGATTTTTTCTAAAGTACCATAAGTGTCATCACAGAATTATATAAGTTAGGAACTTTAAAAAATCATTAAAAAATTGAGTAATTTTTCTTAAAGATCAAGTTGGATTAGAAGAATTTAGCGTACACTGTGATGAATAGTGATGATCACAATACATTGAACCCAATCAAGCAACCATGGGCAGGATATGTGTTGAAGAATCATTGTGTGCGACTCCGAAGAGCTTTCAATCGACATGGTGCGAAATGATCCATTTAATTGAATTGAAAGGACCAACCAAGTAGACTCATGAACAGCTCCCTGAACTTAGGAGTGTGCAAAATAGAGATTTGACGGGTGGTAATTCGGCCATAGTAACGTTTATCTTATTAGTTATGGTGGCCAACCAAAAGTAGAGAATTTCAAGTGCATTATCAATATTTCACAACTACCTATTATAAATATAAGAAAAATAACGAGTGAAAGGGAACCGGAGAAACACAGATATATATTGCATATAGCATCAAACTAGTTGGCACATAACGTTTAGAATGTATGGACTGGCGTTGTGATGTGAGCCACATAAGTAGGAGTAGCTCGATATGCACGACTCGTCCTTCTATGGGGAGGTCATAAATTAGATGCCTCAACGATCGTGGAGTTACCGAGGGTCATCTGTACAGGGTGCTCAAAGGGACTGAATGTTATGACACCATTTGGAGTATAGAAAACACACACCCCAGACAGTGGTGATCTCGACTACTTTCTCCTTTTCATGTTAGCCAAGTATAAAGAGACAAATATCAATTGTTAGGTATGGCTCATATACCATAAATGAGACAGATACTAGAGCAGAGCGAAGCTCATGAGTGTTCCAATCGGGGGAGTTTCATTATGTGGGTTAGGGGTGCGGGGGCAACACCCGGGTGCGGGGGCAACACCCCGTGGCTCGCGGTTTAGTACAAAGGTAATTTAAGTAATTACATATTGTACTATAGTGTTATATATATGTCATGTTTGTAACCCTAGGTGAGCCACTGAGAGCCTGAGATTCTGAATCTTGTATTCTGTATTTTTTTCTGAATATTGAAAATGAAGTCGCCGCTCTGATCTCGACGATATAAACATCTTTATTGAACCTCGTAAATCTCTGTGTGCTCTTCTGAATTTGAGTTGATTCTTGGTTTTCTTCGCCCTAATTTCTCAACAAGTGATATCAGAACGAGGTTCTAGGGCAAAGAAGAAAAATTTGGGCAGCGCAACAATAAAAAATATTTTGGCAGAGGAGATTGGCGACTAGGGAAGGATTTCGACAAGGTTTGCGGCAGTTCAAATTTTGGCGCAGAGGAAGTTCGAAGACGAAGAGGACTTCAGACGGTTCGGCAGGTAGACGAGAGCTTTTCCGTGAAGGCTTCAACTGCAACACCAGGCGCACGCGGACAGTAGGAGTTAGGCTAAGCTTCGAAGGAGTTGGCGCAGGAAGGCGTCGGTGAGATTAGCAGAGGCGCAGAAAGGCGTCAGCGAGATCGACAGAGAAATCACGGCAGGAATCTCGACGTTCGCGATCGCGACAGATGAATCGCGATGTTTGCTATCGCGATAGAGGAATCACAGCTTTGGCTTTGGCTGTTCGGACGGGCTTTGGTTTGACGAGAGGTTTCGACGCCAGGCAAAGTCGCTACAGGTAGAAAAAGAAGGTTTCGCGTTAGCCTGGAGCAGAGACGAAAATTGGAAGCTCCGATTTCGTTCCTTTGCTAGAGGCGGAAGAAAATTGAAAGAAAATCAAGCTCTGATTTTATTGCGGAGAAGAAAATTGGAAGAGAAATCAAGTTTCGATTTTATCCCTTTACAAGAGGCGGAGAAGAAAATTAGAAGGAAATAAGTTCTGATTTTATTCCTTTGCTGCGGAGAAGAAATTTGGAAGCGATATTTTCCAGATTTCTATAGAGACAATAAAGGAAATTTCCTCCTATTAACCAAGAAAATCTTGCTGCACACGGAGATTTTACAGGACGCAGGAAAGACAAGGAAAGGGAATATGATGCTGCACTCGGGAAAGGAAAGATTTCTTTTTGGAAAGAAAGTGGAGACGGAGTTTTTCTGGAAGGAAAGCGGAAACGGAGCTTTTTTGAGAAGGAAAGCGAAGCTTTTCTGGAAGGAAAAATGAGCTTTTCTGGAAAGCAGAGACAGAGTTTTTCTTGGAAGTTTAAGGAAAATGATTTCTAGGAAAGTTTAATTAAGGAAAATTTAATTAAGGGAAAGTCCTTTTTTTCTTGGAAACTTATCTAAAAGAAACTTAATTAATGAAACTTGATTTAAGGATTATATAAAAGAGCCCAACCCACATTGGTGTATAAGAAACTTCATGATATATTTCTCCTAAGGGGCTAGATATTCGCTAAGGTGGAGATTTGTTGGGCATATGCATTTCTCCTAAAGGGGCTAGATATTTGCCAAGGTGGAGATTTGTTGGGCATATGTTGGGCATATGTATTTCTCCTAAGGGGTTGGAAATTAGCTATGGTGGAGATTTGTTAGGCATATGTATTTCTTCTAAGTGACTGGATATTTGTCAAGGTGGAGACTTGTTGGGTATATGCATTTCTCCTAAGGGGTTAGATACTCGCCAAGGTGGATATTTGTTAGGTATGACTCATATACCATAAATGAGACAGATACTGGAGGGGAGTGGAGCGGAAGGATCATCCAATCGGGGGAGTTTCATTATGTGGGTTAGGGGTGCTGGGGCAACACCCTGCGGTTTGATACATGGGTAATTTAAGTAATTACATATTATATTATAATGTTATATATATGTTCTGTTTGTAACCCTAGGTGAGCCTCTGAGAGCCTGATGTACTCTTTTCTAAATATTGAAAAGAAAGCTGCTGCTCTGCTCCATAGGATGGTGGCGTCTGCTCTTGTTCTGCTCCCGAGGATGTAGGCATCTTTGCTGAACCTCGTAAATCTCTGTGTGTTCTTCTGGATTTGTGTCGATTCTTAGTTTTCTTCGCCCTAATTTTTCAACATCAATAACAGAGAAAGGTCAAGAAACAAATCAAAATTAAAACATCATCAATGCTTACGAAAGTGCAATGACTTAACTGCTGAGGGTAAAATAAGGGATATAATAGTGTCAAGTTGCTCACTATAGTAACTGGCACGTAGATGTGAAATTCAAGGTCTAAAAAAGACACAAAATTTGTGACACTACTATCAAAGGAGCTAGGTCACACAAGTGTAACCAAGACTCCTATAGTGGAGAGAGAGTCTATTCCCAGCAAAGTCGCTATATTTGTTTTTATATATTTTTTCATCTTTTTTACTTTTTGAAGGATTTGTCAACTTGTTTATCATTGTATAATTTTTTTTTTTCTAATTAGTCTCTCTTCTGCATCATTGGGTTATCAAGAAAAGAAAGAAATTTGTAGGTAAGGAAATATGATGATGAAGACAAACGAGATAAAAAATGTGTAGAACTTCCCTATGTAAACTTTATGTGATAGCCCAAAAAGTACATCCAAAATGAGATCAAAATGAAAATATTTTGGAACATATCCATAAAGAAGACACATCCCTTAGGTTAATTATATCTTGGAGGATGCCCAAGAAAACTCTTGATTAAAGAAATTATGTGCAGAGTTGTATAATGAGTATTATGGGTGTCACAAAGGACGCTTATCTCACAGGAGCATCCTAATGTCTTCAAAGCTTGTACTGATCCATACAAGCAAAGAATGAGTCTCTCACAATCTCATATGAATAGCAACTTATCAGTGTTCAGGGGCTATAAAATAACTGAGCCATCTTGAAGGGTTCACACTTTGCATTCAGGGCCTCATCAGGCCTTAAGTGATCGTGATGCTCCTGTGAAAGTCTTTTTTTATAATTTTCCAAAATGAGTCTTGGTATCTCTTCAAAATGTGTCCACATTCAATAAATCTTTTAGAAATTGCCTCATTTCAAAAGCTCATTAAATGAATTTTCGTGTCCATTAACAATTTTTCGCTTTTTTTACTAAGAGTTGCTTAAAAAATTTATCCAAATTCATTAAATCATCAAGTGACTACTTCTGACGCTAAGCGCGGGGTACTGGGCGCTTAGGAGCGGCTCTCTCTGTTTCATTGGCACATAAGCGTCAGTCCTATGCGCTTAGGCATCTAAGTTAAATTTCACACATTCTGCATTTTTGCTCTAAATTTGATCATTTTTCACTTTTTTCACCATTTTTCATCTATTTGATTGTACCTGAAAGAAAAACACGCAAATACATTTCATTAAAGAAAAATATCTCAAAAATAGGTATAAAAATGTGTGCATAAAGACTATATATTTTAGGTGTATCAGCTATGTCGACCGGGATAGATTTGGGCATCACCCGTTTCTCCTTCGTCGCCACTTTCTTTTTCTTTACAGAAGATAGAATCTGAATCCTCGCCCTTGAAAGCTTCTCAGGATCCGCGAGGATCTGGTTTGATTTATTAGCCATAATAGACCTTAGTTATAAAAAGATGAACTAGCGACAAATGACATAAGACTCGGTTCAGGTCTATTTAAAGAACATGAGGGACACGGAATCCTAAGGGAAGTCATGTGTTTAATCAATTAACAAATTTAATGCTAACAATTATTTAAAAATTTTCCTGTTCTTATTTTAGTTGTCGCTATGAAGGAGCAGAAAAACTTGGGGAACTAAAATATATACACCAAAAATACCAGCATGAATCTCAAAGAGAACGAATAACCAAGAAAAAAGCGCCTCCTCTCGAGGTGAGCAATCAACTGACAATTCAAGTCTGAGCATGAAGTCGCGTCTCTAAACCCGGGATAGTTCAAGCTCTAAAGATGGTTCCCCGCTTGGTAGCAGCAGAACCTACTGAAAGTGAGGTGTAAATCACTCGGTAGCGAGTCTCATTAGATATCCCGCATTGGCTGCAACAAGATCTATCTAAAACCTTGTAAAATAGGGAGATACAACCAAGGCGGTGAACCAACTATGCAGGTGAGACAAGAGCCCTGTAAGACTCGAGTCGAATGGGAAAGAGCCATGACTCGCCCAACAAAAAAACCAACTGATCACTTTCGACCTCTCAACCTCGTGTCTGAACCGAACGACTACCTAACAATCGATAGCTCCAGTCGACCGTGCCAAAAGACACCGAGCCAGATCGTCATGCGACCAAACACCTTGACCGACCATGCATACTTCAGAGGGCACAGACACCACTCGATCACCTCAGTCGGCTGACTTCAAGCCAGGAAACCAACCAATTACCGCTAATGCTGAAGCTCAAATTGTAATACAAATATGACGTAAAATCTATACAATCAATTAGACCCTTAATGTCATTAAATACATTTTCCATAATTGTTCCCTCCTTTATGTAATTATATAAAACACGCTACTATAAGATAAAATAGGAATAAGAGGTCCTCTCTTTGATTCTCCCTAAAGAAATTTCAGACTTATTCTACTCTCTTTTCATTTATCTCTTTCACTCTGCTCTAACTCTCGGGAGGTCATTCACAAAGGACTAATTATGATCCAACAGCTATATATTTACATATATAAAATGAGGCCGGTGGAAATCTTTCCAATTGATATTTGCATCATACCACCCGATTTTAAGCACTTTTACATACATACCAACCAATTAATATATATTTATTTGTCCACGAAACCAATTACTATATATTTATGTGTTTGGTCGCAGGAATTTTGAAAAGGCAACTTGAATTTTCCATATATACCCCCAATTCTTATATATTTACATGTATAAAATGAGGCGAGTGGGGATTTCCGAATTGGTATTTGAATACATACCACCCAATTTTTATGTATTTACATATCTAGCACCTATATTTAAATTTTTTTATGATAACACCACAAGTATTTTTAAAAATAATAAAATATAATATTTTTAAATAAATCATAATTAATTAATACAAAAAAAGATATAAATAAATATGCTTATTATTTAATTATTTAGTTATTTCGAATCAAATCAAGTTGAAAACAAGCTAAGAAAATTTATTCATGTTCCACTTAAGCTAAGAAAATTTATTTGTGTTCGACTTATTTATTTGAAGAACGAATAAAATATGAGCTATTTAACAAAAACAAACACGTAATATTCGCGAACAAAGCACTTTTTCTATGTCCAAATCTAAACTATAAAATAAAAACCAATGCCAGTGAAAATTAATGGCAAGTGAAAGTTCCATTATGCCCCTTGGACAATGAGAAATTATAAATTTATTATCTCAGAGTGCGATTTGTTAAAAGGCAACCAAACGCCAATTTTCCTTTTTGTGAATTATCTTTCAAATATATGGTTTGTAAGGGACCATTTGGAAAAGGGAACCGATTGATTGAACAGTCAGGTGTTTTAGCTCTCAAATAGCATCATGATTTCTATTTTATTTTTCAATTTTTTGAGTATTTTTTAAAGAAAACTTTTTTTCACAAGCTATCTTATTTTTCAAAGACAAACTAATATTATTCATCTTGAATTTCAGCAAAATTATTACAAAAATTGACGCGAGATTTAAAGCTATATAAAAATCAAATTATGAAATCATAATCGTAACGCAAATATATTGATTCATTCGCTCAAATATAACACGAGTACTATATTTTATAAATAACAAAAGTTAGGAAGATATGTATATACTTATCCCAAAAAGTTAATTTGTAAACTCCAATAACTCTAATCTCAACAAATCTATAATCAAAATAGCATATAGATATATACATATATATATATATTATATGACATTGTAATTTTCTAACGAATGCAAAAAATGCTGAAATCACGCATTCATATAAACATAAACTAATCCTCATCATCAGACTCGAACATCTTTCTCCGCCGAAGAGACTGGAGCACATGAGCTTGCTGTGCGGCAGCTCCATCGCTGCCTCGCGCGTCGCCGCTAAACCTAACCCGCGGTATGCTCTTCGATGGCAGCACCGTCCCCTTCCTGCTCGTGCTCTGGTTAGCCTCCCTGAGCACCGACTTCGCCGTCACCTCCGCCGCCGCATCAGCCACGGCCGAACCAATCTTGCCGCCGCTGCCCAATTTCTCCGACAGCTTTACGAAGATGCTGGTGGCAGATACGGCCCTGTCGGCAGGCGATAAAACGTTCTGGTTCTGCTGAGGATTCGCCATGGCTTCTGCAACGGTGGATTTGGCCTTTGCGGCCTCGTATTTCTCCATGTCATAGATGAGCTCCTTCTGGAGCTGTTTATCGGCGACGAGGATCTCGTCAATTTCCTTCCTGTAGTCCTTGAGAAGCACGCGGAGGCAGTCCATGAGGCTGCCCATTAGAGGACTGTTTTTGCTTTCGAGAAGCCGTTTGAGCTCGATGAATATCGGGACGGCATGCTGGACTAGATTCTTCTTCGCAACTTGGGTGACTACGCGGCCTTTGGCAGCGAGGACCGTCGCTCCGGCGGCTCCGCCGTAGTCTCCGCCTTCGTCGTCCATCTCGGCGGTATCGGAAGCTTTGCTTGATTGGATTCGCATCTCTTTGCAGGCCAAAATGTGGAGACAGTCCTATCATATAATGAAGAATTAGTGAGCCATAGGAGTACATAAAAGCTCGACGATCTTACATGATGTTGTTCGTGCGTTCATGAATCAAAGGTTGAGCTTTTGATGAAAGCCAAAATTTAAAAGGATCTTGCATTGACTAAGATTGTGATGATAACTAAAGGTTGATGCATACCCGCACAACAGATTGTCCGGCAACATCATCAATGCTGAGCAACCCATCTGAAGCAGCTGCCAATATCTCTGCACACAACTTAGCTGAGGTAGCTAAAAGATGTTCTGGTGCCATTTGTTTTAACAAAGAAACATATATGTGCATCCTCTTTGATCTCGCTTTTTCATCTTTGCCACTGCAGTAAACAAAATTATCAAAAGTAGTTTTTTTTTTTAATAAAAAGGAGTAGAGAGCTAAAATAGTTCCCCAACTCTTTACATGGAGTTATTTTAGTCCTAGAATTTATAAAAATGTCAAATTAATTTCTAATCTTTTAATATAAGTTGAAATAATCACCATGAGCCCATTAAAAGAATCTAGTGACTAAATTGACACTTTTATAGACTCCGGGACTAAAATGGGTCCCTACAAAAACTGAGGGGACCATTTTGACACTTTTCTCTTATCAAAAAATATTCCCAAACCGATTGAAGGAAAGTGAGAGACTAGAACCCAGCCATGTATGGCTTTATATCTGTGTCATGAGATACCTTAATGAAAAAAGCTGAGAAACTTTTTCAGGAGCCTCACTTTGTCCAGAATGTGCATTGCAACCATTAAGAAAAAATATAGCTTCTATAAAACTGTTATATGCAAGGAGGGGTGCCTTGACTGCATAAATATATCAATCAGAAAAAAATGCTCTAGAAAGGTTGGCAAGGAAGTAAGGTGAGCAGTTAATAGAGAGTTGAACCTTTAAGAATGTTCCCAAATAAATAATCTGCAAGACTTCTTATCTTTTCAGAATCGTCAACAAGGGACAATAGGAATCTCAGGAATAGAGCACCTCTCCACTTCACATAGTCTCTCTGCACTAAAGATTGGTTTTTGTGAGAGGGGCATAAGGCCTTGTTGGAAATCAAATGTCCTTTTTTTTTTTAGTTTTTTCTTTTATTTTTAAGAATATATTTGTTTAGTGTGTTTTTATATATTTTTTTATTTTTATTTTTTATTTCTAAAAATAAATTAACACGTTTTTAAAAAAACTCAATACAACTTTTAAGTGTTTTGAGTGTTTTTTTAAACAATCATATCTTACTTCCGATATATCAAACATGATTTGTTTCAAATCAAGACATAAAATAAAATAAAATAAAAAATTGAAAATAACAGTGATCTCAAATGGCCCTTAAGCATTTAATTTGACCTATAGCAAACCTCTAAGTTCTAAGTGATCAGTAAAAACAAACCTGCAGTAACCTTGAAAGCAAGATGAATGTCTGTCTTCTCACAACTTCACAAGGATCACGCAAAGCAGTGGTTATCTTTGGAATGTAACTGTTGATTCAAGCAGCATAAGATAATTCGTGAGAATGTAACCCAAATAAAGAAGACCATAAAGCCACTTTATGAAAAAGCAAACTTCTCAGATGTTGCCTTTTATGGCCGAATATTATTTCACAATACAAAAAATAACAAGACAATCACTTAGTCACACAAAAAAGAGCAATTTTTTTCAAATTTATAATATATATATATATATATATATATATATATATATAAAATAATAAAAAAATGTACTGCTGCAGTGTAAAGAATTGGGACACGAGAGTGAGAGCTTGGGAGAAGATAGACTGTGATAATCAATGGGTGGGCAGGTGGATGAGATCAGTTTCAAGATTGTCAAACCCAAACAATAGAGAACAAATGAATAGGTCCTTTTAATGAATGAAAATATTAATTAGAACAATATAGTTTATCTTCGTACTCTAAACGCTGAGTACATTGTTAACAATTTCACTGAATTTGGCATATTTATACTAATCGAGCTAGAAGTAAATCATGTTGATTGATAAGTTTAAATGTTTTGATTCTAGTATTATGATAAAAGAATATAAGTGTCTCTAGTTTATGATAAAAGAACATAAGCTGATGAATGGAGATAGAAAGTATGACAAATCTCACAAAATTAATACCAATTAATTACAATGTGAAAGTCTTTAGGACATCATAAATGGATATAAGAAAGCCTACAAGGAAAAGTTCGTAAATTCCAAAAATATAAGCTATGTTACATGAATCCAAATACTGGATAACAAAGAAACCATCATTAAATAATTACATCAAAAACGTTTGCATAGGAGTGGTGTGTAAATGAGGTAGATATAGTGTTAAATCAACGCATATGAATATATGAATCAAAAAGGAATTAGCATTATTAATTAGCATTATTTCAAGGTGGATTTCAAGGTGGATTTTTTTTTTTTTTGGCTCGGATAAAAAAATGTGTGGCATGATTTATCATTGGATTTCTTTTGCATGAAAATCCTCATTAAAAAGTAATTTCGGAATTATTTCTAGTTTAAAATTGTCATATAATTGATAATAAGGCTTTCATGGAGATGCATGCCTATGTATAATGCACATTTTTTATCCAACATATACATGTTTTTTTAATGCATCGCTTCACATGCTTTTTATTGTAATGAGCAACATGTTTTCCATTGAGCCGCTTAACATGCATTTGTTTTTGCTCTCATGCGTAGCTCTGTCAACATCAAGTTCCTTCAAATTAACATGTGTGTGTGTGTGTGGCGGTGGTGTTAAAGCTCATGGGAAGCTTCGGTGCTATTCGTTTTAACCATCCCGTCATTCTTCCTCTTGTGTCCAAAATTTTAGGAACAATTCATCATGTGAAGAGTTGGTGGAAAATAGATCATTCCACTACACTAATAAAGATGTATAAGGGTCTTTGTTCATGGTGTCACGTGCACAAAATCACCTATAATCTATCAAAAATAGTTCCCCATCAAATCAAAATGATGTGACTGGGCCATTTGCAAGAGGATCAACATCTCATTTTGTGCTATAGTTAAAAAATATTCACGAGCAAGGAAGCAAAATGATGAGTGTGAGAAAAAGAGACAGGAAGTCAATGGGAAATAACGATGAGAAATGAGAGTGCATAACGAATGAGAGGATATGAGCCAAAACATGGATTTTAATTTTTTTTTAAAAATTATTCATGGAAGGGAAAAAATGGTTTTGCCATTACATATTAATGTCTGTAGCATAGCCACATGCCATATGCATTAAAGCGGCTACTTCATATTACTATAGCAATTATTATTATTAATTCCTAATAGAAGAATAATAATAATATTATTATTATTAATGAAAAAGGAGAACCATACGACTCTCCCCGCATGAGCGCCATAACTAGGGCTGTCAAAATGGCTCGTTGTTCGCGAACAGCTCGTGTTCGGCTCGTTAATTTC